GAGTCCCTGCTGCCTCCCACCATTATTCCTCCTTCCTCCTAGTTCAGCGACTGGCCCTGAGCTGCTCCTGTGACTTCTTCCGGGCCCTTTTCACCTGCCCCATGCGGGAGGCCACCCACGACCCTGCTGACCCGCTGGTCACAGGGCTGTCCCCAGCCGAACTGCGTCTCCTCCTCTCCTTTGCCTACACAGGAGCTGTGGCAGGGCCATGGCCCATGGTCTTGGAGGCAGCTGAGACCTCCCTGCGCTACCAGGCCTGGGGGCTCCTCACTCTCTGCCTGGATGTTTTCACCCATGGCCTGACCCCAGAAATTGTCCCTGATGTACTGGCCTTTGCTGTGGCCTATGGGTTGGATGAGGTGGTCCATGTAGCAGAGAACTACATCCTGGCCACCTTCCCCTGTGTGGTGGTTACACCGGCCTTCCTGGATCTTCCTGCACACCTTCTCATCCGCCTCCTCCGCTCTGATGGTCTCAATGTTCTCCATGAACTGGAAACCTTGGAAGCAGCATCTCGGTGGCTTATGGCCAATGGAGATGGCCAGGAGGATCTAGCCAAAGAGATCCTGTCATCTGTTCGCTTTGCCCTCATGTCCAGCCTGGAGCTGAAGAAGGTCCCATCTGTGACTGCAGGGGTAGCTGACCCAAAGATCCTCCACGAGCTCATGGTAGCAAGTTTCGCCCCTATGGCCCAGCTGCCATGTCGGGTACGTTCCCTGCAGGAGGTATTGGTGGTTTGTGGTGGAGACAAAGTAAAGGGCAACCTGGCTGCCCGGAAGCCCAGCAGACACCTCTGGTTTGCAGACCGCTACCTCAGTGCTGTGGGGCTGGTGAAGCAGGTTGAGTGGCGGGCACTGGGACACTTTCCTGATGGCCCACGCTTCCGTCATGCTGTAACTGTGGTGGGCAACAACCTCTACGTCCTGGGTGGAAAGCACTACTACGGGGTCCATGACACCCTAGCCAGTGTCTACAGGTGAGAGCTACAGAGGACTTAGAGTTGCCATGTGGCGCCAGGGCATTGTGGGAGGTATTGGTAGAAGTAGAGGTAGAGCTTCCCCGTGGATCCAAGACAATGTGGCATTGCAGCTGGTCAAGTGGCCCCAAGTCATTCTGGGAAGGGTTGGGTGTAGGACTCAGAGGTGCCCTCCTACTCTGGCGTACAGCCTTTTTGGGAGTAGGAGCGGGAGGATTCTATCTGGAGATACCCCAGGACATTATGGATTAGATATTGTCCAGAAGGAGGGGATATTCCCCTGCAAGGTGACCATGTGACCCAAGACATTATGGCAAATTGTGGGTAGGTTGTTGGCCTTAGCGGTGCCAACATCAGCTCATGGTGTTGTAGGTAACAGGTAGTTTCTTGCCCCTTTGCCTCTCAAACCCAGGTACCAGCCTATGGATGATTCTTGGGAGCGTCTGGCCAGTATGACATGTGGACGAAGCTACTTTGCTGCTGTGGCACTTGGTAATTTCATCTATGCCCTGGGCGGAAGCTCAGGGGAGCTCTACTGCACAGACACTGTGGAGTGCTACAACCTGGCCAGTGACACCTGGAGGTGAGGCTGCTCCAGCAGATGCCTAGTTTCCCTTTTCTCTCAGAGCCCCTTGTTTTGGCCATGGTGCCCACTGAGTGCGTTGTGTCACTAAGCCTCCAGTGGAGGATGGACTTGCAGTGGTATTTGAGAGAAGTCTACTGCGTGTTGAATAACCATGTCCCTTGGGGACTGGCTGTTGGCTAGTGTTGCCTAGTGGGTTTGGGTTTTTAGCCAGTAGTCATTGTTGGTCTTGTTGGCCATCTGCCAATGAGAAAAGTAGTTTGATTCCTCTCATAGGCAGAATGTTCATGGGGTGATGGCCAAGGTTGTCCATTGAGGGAGTCCACCATGGTTGACTGATGGTGTGGTGACTACAAAGTGTTGAATAGTGATGCCCCTGTGGCATCCATTCTGTGTCACCTGATGTTGTCCACTGGAGCTCATTGGATGTTGGCAAGTGTTGCCTTCTGAGTGGTCAGTGAAGCCATGGCTCACCAGGGAACCCCTAGGTAGTCAGTCACTGCAGGACACCCTGCTTAACCTGTCCTTCACCCCTCCCTCTTTCCTTGCCCAGGAGGTGCCAGCCCCTGCCAATGGCTCTGTGTGGGCATGCAGCATGCGCCCTGGATGGTGAGCTCTACGTGTCGGGTGGTTGTGATGAAGCATACCAGTGTCAGGCATCCTTGCTCCGCTATGTCCCAGGTGCACCTGTCACACTCCTGGCCCCCATGAATGGCCAGCGAGCTGGCCACATCATGGAGGAGGCAGGTGGGCAGCTCTATGTGGCTGGGGGCCTGTGTCAGCGGGCTGGGGAGACTGGCTACAGGGACCAGCTGACCTTTGAGGTCTACAGCCCCAAGCAGAACATCTGGGTCCTCCTCAGTCCTCTCCCCCGTGCACATGTAGTTGGAGGTGCAGCTGTGCTGGGAGGGGAGCTGCTTGTACTGGGAGGGTACAGTCATGAGACCTACCAGGACACGCACTTGATTCACGCCTACCAACCAGGTACCCGGCGCTGGATCACCCGGGGCACCTTGCCCCATGCATATACTGACCTACAAGCCTGTGTTCTCACTGTACCTCCTGCCTTGCGTGCCCCCAGCTGCCTTAAGGACCCCTTGAGATCAACTGAAAATCCCAATAATGCTTAGGGTATACTCTCTGCATCCAATACTGGGATAGCCAAGTAGCATCTATGGATACCACTATGAGACAAAAGTGTCCAGATCCCTCTCCCAGGTTTCTCCTGTGGTTTCCAGCAACCCTTCACCCTCAGGGTACATGAGCTAGACTGTTGTGAACCTATGGAACTTAAAGATTCCCCACACTGTAGCCCTGTGCCTCCAGGAATATCAATCCTCTTGTCTGAGCCCTTCACTGGGAGCTGGGAATCCCTCAATATTCCCCCTCACCTGGGTTGAATAAAAGTACTTCCTAAACTGTCTGTCTGGGTCTTATTGTTTCTGGTAGGGAACCCATACATCCAGGTGCTTCTCACAAGGAACAGGAGAGCAGAAGACCAGTGACCTGGGTGTCCTGGGTGGGTGGTGCTGGGCACTGGGGCTCTGTGTGCCTGGGTTCTCTGGGCACAAGGGTGTATGTGTGTGTGTCTCAGGACTAGAGAGGGATCTTGGGGTGCATAGGGGATCCTGGGGGAATAGGGTCCTGGGGGTGCCAGGATTTGTGGGGGTTGATGGTGGGGTATAATAGGGGATCCTGGGGGATTTGGGGTTCCTAGGTGGTTTTGAGAGGTCTTGGATTCCTGGAGTTACCTGGACTGCTTGTTGTGTGAAGAGGTGGGAGAAATCCAGCAAGGAGTTGCAAGGAGAGGCAAAGGTAATGAGATTCTGAGAAATGCTGGAGTACTAGTAGTGCCTGTGGGGAGGGAACTGGGTGGCTTCAGATGTGTAGAAGATGGCCAAAAGTTGTAGTCTAAAGAGTTCTGAGGAGAAGGGGGTAATCACTTCCCTTGGCCTGCTGGCCTGTCTCTGTTAACCCAGACCAGGTTTTGTTGCCCTCTCTTTGCTGCCAAGTGCACTGCTGGACCTTGTTCACCTTTCTGTCTACCAAGATACACAGATCTTTTTCCACAGCTCTGCCTCCCAAATGTTTGTGCCCCACTGTTTGGGCCTTCAGACTGTGCCAGCACTGAAGCTGCTTGCCTCATTGTTGTCCCAGGAAACAGGGATAGAGAGGATGGTGTGGTTAGAGGACAGCACCAACAGACAGAGAAGTGGCTCCTTACAAACACAGTGTGTGTATGTCCATGACATACTTGCACAGCAGACTTTCACGAGCAGACATACTTACGCTGGTCAGCACAGGCACATGTTTCCACTGTTGAACTCAGTAATTAATCTGGCAGAAGGCTACACTGACTCACAGCAGTTTGACAATACATTTGGGGCAATGAGAACTGGAACTGCATTTCAGGCTAGAAAAGTGATTTATAGGATCCAGCTGCTGCATTTATGCACCAGTTCTGGGGCAAGCCATTCAAGCCCCACCAATGGTGACTGTTGCCTCCTTGTCACACCTCCCTAAATGTTTGAGTGACATGTAGACAGGTGATCACAAAATTCTGGCCATCTCTGGAGTGCTTTGTTCTCATGTAATTCCTTACAAATCACATCCATTGCCTTTCAAAGCCTCCCACCCTACTCCTTCATATCTGGCCATCCATAATTGGTCATGCGGAGGCATCAACACTTGCACTTTCCTTATTACCTGCCAGTGGGATGCTTTTTCCATGTGATTCAGTTTCACAGGAAAGAATCACATATTTGGGGCCAAAGTCAAGAATAGGAGTATAAGTGTGCAGTTTTGAATGCGAGAATACAAGAAGGATCTAAAGCTGTTAAAGAGTATCCGAAGGAGGCCAGAAATGGGGAAGGGTCTTAGAGGGGAAGGGTATGAGTAGCAGTCGAATGAGGGCATTTGACATATTCAGTCTGGAGGAGATCAAGGGGAGACCTCATTGCAGAGACCTCCCCTGAAGGGAGGCAGAGGGCCAGCTCTGTTCTGACCCCAGGAACAACTGGAGCTGTGTCATGAGGGCATCCCAATGGATAAATATTAGGAAAAAGCTCTTCTCCCAGAGAGTGATCAGGCACTGAACAGTCTCCCCAGGGAACGTCACAGCTCCAAGGCTGCCAGAGCTCCAGAAGTGTTTAGACAATGCTCTCAGGCACAGGGTGGGATTGCTGGTGTCTGTGCAGGGCCAGGAGTTGAGCTTGATCCTCAGGGGTCCCTGCCAACTCAGGATATTCTAGGATTCTGGGATTCCATGGACTTTTCTTCCCTGTCTTCACTCTTCCAAATACTGAAGACAAATTTCTAATTCACTGTGCCCTGCCTGGACTTGTGGCAGGTCCAGTGAAATTAAGCCAGCACTCCTTTTAAATTCAGGCACAGAATATTTATTATGTGATTAAGAACCTGGCACTGAGTAGAAAAGTATATTGCATCTTTGTGTGCATAATTTGAACAGAAGCAGTTGCAACATAGCACAATGTAAATTCTGCTTGCCCTCACTTACCCCAAAACCAGTCTGTGGCAGTGACAGCCCCAGACTATCACTGACCAGTTTAGGATATTATTTTCCTCTGACAAATACCCAAGTAATTATTTTAGCTCTGGAAACCTCAGGCTGTTTGAGAGTACTAGAGGAAGGAGCTGGATGGCTTCCCCCTAGGCAAGTAGATCTTTCCCTTGTAAAACAAAGCATATAAAGCAGAACCATGACTGTCAATCTCTTTCTCTGGGTGTACAGAATCATTTACATGGTGTTACCTGCATATTTCACTCTGACATCACCAATGGCCTCGACACCTGTGTCTAGGCTGTAAGCAGATGGGGTCCTCGGGAAGCCAAGGTCTGTGACCATCAGCTTCCTGGAAAAAGGCTTGACTGATGTGTGCAGAGGACTGTGGTGAACCCACAGTTCCTTTGTAGTGCAGAAAGAGTAACTTGCAGGAGGACTGTGCTGTATCCCCAGATCTTTAATTGTGCAGTAGGTAACCTCAGGGCACAAGTCCACTTCCTTGATTGTACAGAATGTGGGTTGCTGGAGGGGTATTTTGAAACTGCTGAGATGTATCATAGGGTTTCCTGTTGACTCCCTCCATTCCTGCAGTGGATATCGCACCTCTTGGGTCTGCAAGGACTGGTGCCAGGAGGGTTTTCCCACCAGACACATCCATGCCATCCAACCTGCTAGAGCCAGCATGGTCAGGACCAGCACAAACAAGGAAGCCTGGTAGAGCACCCAGTGTAACAGGCAGCAGTGCCTCAGCACCCACTGCCCCCACTGTGGACCCTCCCCACCTGCCTGCAAACGCAGCACAGGTACAGCCCATCCTGGGATGGAGCAAGGGCAGAGGGAAGGAGGAGCAGGTAGGGGGGAGCATGCAGACTGGGTGAAATGTGTGGTGTCCAGGGGAGGTGGTATTGTTGTGGCATGAGTGGAAAGCGTGGTGTTGGCCAGCATCGGAGGAGGAGATGGAGATCTGACAATAGAAGAAGCTTCTAGCATGGCAGTAGAAGGCACTGCTGTGGAAGTAGTGAGAAATGTGCCAGTGGACCCCATGAGACTACCATAGATAGTGCTGGCAGCAAGAGTGATTTGAGGATGGCCACTGGTGCTAGAAGGGCTCCTGCTTATCGCTGTTGGCAGCGAGGTGGCAGGTCTGTGCAGGGTGATGGTGGTAGCAGCAGTGAGAATGGTAGCAGTGCTAGGGTTCTGTGAGAATATCATGGTGGGACTGGCTGGTACAGGAGTGGTGGTGCTGGGAGCTCTGATGCTTGTCAGCATTACAAGCAAAGTGCTTGGGGAAAGGGTGGAGGTACAAGGGGTGCTGAAGGAAGGTCTGGTGAGGGGAGATCCTGTGGTAGTGAGGGTAGGAAGGCAAGATGAGGTAACAGCACAGGGCATGGTAGTGTCCTCTTTGGGGATGAATCCATGTGGGGGGAAGGTGGTCACGGTGGCTTTCTCTGTTGTTTCTTCCTCATAATTGTATTCATCCCCTCCTTCCTCATCTGCATCCTCCACAATGCTGCAGTTAAGCTTGAAGTGAATGATGGGCTTCTCCCTATGCTCAGTAGGGCTGTGGCACAGTACCTTCTCAGGTGCAACCTCCACCTTTGTTTCCTCCAGGCCCCGCTCTGGCTGATAAACAATGTCAGCATTCTTTTGGATCCAGGTCTGGAGGTAGTGCAGGTCACAGTTGCAATTCCAGGGGTTCTCAGTGAGGAAAACATACATGAAGAGACGCCCCTTTGGGAAAAAGTCAGTGGGCAGGGTCTGCAGCTGGTTTCCTGAGAGCCAGAGGGTCTCCAACTTTTTCAGGTCCTGCAGCAACTCCTTGGGTAGCTCTTTCAGGAGGTTGTCTGAGAGGTCCAACTCCTTGAGTGCCGTCAGCCCTGCAAAGGCCTCCCAGGGCAGCTGCTGCATCTTGTTCCCTCTCAAGTCCAGATTCTGCAGCTGTGGCACTGTGCGGAAAGCCCCCGGGGCCAGTGTCTCCAGGCTGTTGTGGGCCACAGCCAGGTGGGTGAGCGCAGGAAGGCCCTCCAGGATGGGTAGGGCTGCCAGTGCATTGTGGGAGAGGGTCAGGTCCTTCAGGGACGGCAGCAGGGCCCCCGTGTGCAGAGCCACCAGCCCATTGTTGGCCAGGTCAATGTCCTGAAGCTGGGTGAGGGGCAGAAAGGCAGCAGTGGAGAGGGACTCCAGGTAATTGTTGCTGAGAAGTAGGATGCCTGTATCTGTAGGCAGGTCTGGGGGCACTGCCCTGAGAGCCTTCCCTGTGCAGTTCACCTCCAGGAGGTCCTTGACCTTGTTCATCTCTGAGGGGCAGGGCTGGGCTGGGAACAACAGGGCCAGGAGAGTGACCAGGGTCAGGGCAGGGACCTGCATGGCCTGGAGGGGGAGAACCGAGGGGTGTGGGTGCAATCAGGCATGCACCTACATATTCATTGCCCGCACAATTCCCGCGCAAGCACCATTTGCAGCAAAACTGGCATCCCCTGCCAGACCCTCTGGCAACCTCTGAGCTCTGCAGCTTCTCCCTGTGATGATGTAAGGGAGAGACGAATCCCACACCTACTGCCATCTTGTCCTTGGAGACCAGCAGATGACATTTTGGCCCTTTTGCCCTCCTCATTCTCTTTCATAGTATGGAGAACCTGACTCATGGGCCTCTTCACAGCAATGCCTTCTACACTGGGGCAGCATTGCTGCCCTCACCACTGTAAAAGCCATACCTCTGCAGTGTTTTTGTCCCAGCATACCCACACCCAGCTCAACCCAGACAAATTGTATGCTGGAAGAATTTCCCTGAATATGCTCTTACCCAACACCAGCTGAGCCCTCTGCTAGATTTGGAGGGTAGGAGTATGAATCATGTGAGCTTCCTGTGCACAGATGTGTCTTCCATGAGCAACCAGGCCCCTGTGAACACTGTGACTCACCTGTAGATCTTCCAATGTTTGCTCTCCTGCTGCTCTGCCTCCTCCTGCCCACAGACCAGAGAGTGCTCTGGGTCAGTGCTAGCAAGGAGCTGCCCACCCCTCTATCAGCACCCACAGTTGTGGGAAGGGAGCTATGGTTTCCTGAGCAGCCAAACCCATCTCCTGTCTTTTCACACAGCCCTTTCTTTGGCTGCACTGCCACATCACTATCTCTCCTTGCAAAATGTCAACGAGGATCAGCAGGCATTGCCCCAGCAGCAAATGGTTGTGTCCCAATGCAGTCTGCACTGGATCCTACTTGTTCTGCTGCTCAAACTAGTTTTCCCCTTAGGATTTGCAGGAGCATTTGCAGAAAATAATTCAATTGGCTTCTGAGGAGAAAATGGGCAGGAGCATTGGCCACAGCTTCTGAGAAGGGGCTGAGGTAGTAATAAAATGACTATGCCCATGATGCTGGAGAAGCACTTGTGTCTGGATGCAGGCCTATCTGGACCAGGATGCCTTGAGGCTCAGGACATCTCTTGTTGTCTGTGATAGGAGTGGGATGGACTGAAGCTCTCCTCCCCTAGCAACTGTAGTTTAAAGTCCTCTTCTCTAGCTTGGCAAGTTTGTGAGTGTTCTTTGATTTTTCTGACAGATGGACTCCATCTGCCCCCAGTAGATCAAATTGTTCAAAGCAAGTGTGATAGTCTAAGTAGCCAAATCCCTGGCTGTGGCACCAGTCCTGTAACCATCTGTTGATTCCCCAGATTCAACTGGCTTTCAAACCACTTCCCTTTGACTGGGAAGATTGATGAAAAAACTACCTGTGCTCCAGAGTCAGCAGCTACTGCTGCTCCCAGGGCTCTGTAATCCTTCTTGACGCTGCTCAGGCTGCTCTTGACTGTATCACTGGCATGCACATGAAACAACAGCAGCAGGTAATGGTGGACTGTGCAAGGCATGGTAGTCTCTCAGTGACATCTCTGATATGAGTCCATGGTAAGCAGCATGATCTAGAGAGTACAGCAGACCAGTAAATAGTGCCTCCATACCTCTCGGAAGAGAGTCTCCTCTTACAGTTACTCTCTTAGTTGTGATAATTATTATATGGGGAACAGATCATGCTGCCCTACTGGTTGTTATATGGGGAGTAGATGGGGTTACCTTACTCATCTTCAGTGTCTCACCTGCTAAGTCTTTCCTGCAGAGCAGTGAAAGGTTCTTCAAGGGCACCTCTGTCTTCTGGAAAAGTTCTGCAAGAGCACCTGTGGCTTTGGGGGAAGACTATTCTTCCTGCAGGTCCTTGCTGTTCCATTCTTCCACACTGGCCCTCCTTCCTTCTGTGTGTGTTCTCTTGGTCTTCTCCCCTTCTATGTGTGTCACTGGAGAAGTCTCTTGCTATTCGGCTTTGTGCTGAAGGTCTACTGCAAACTGTGCTTGCAACCAGCAAACTCTCTCCTTCCAGGGAAAGAACTCCTCAGCCTTCCTGCTACTATACAGCTTTCTCACTGCCTCTTGCCTTTCTCAACCAATTACCACAGGTGGTCCTCCACCTGGGCACACCTTTTGCAGGTGCCTGTCCCTGCCCTAGAGAAAGACTCATTCACTTCTTGCAATGAGAGATCTTCATTGCAGCACCTCCCTTTGGCAGCTCTGTCTGGATGGAGGCACTGGCAGCAGCCAGGGTAGATGGTGCAGACCTCTGCATCATGCATTGGAGTTGCAGCCTTTGCTCTGAAAGGAGTGTCCATCATTCTGCCTTTGGAGTCAGGTAGGAGGAATATCTTCAACCTATTGAAATGGCCACACAACATTCCTGGTTCATAGACAGAGCTTAGATGCAAGTTACAAATGGTGTGTGATGGTAACTGCATTGGAGTACTCATCTGCAGATGCATTTCCCTCTGCTTTGGGGATTGAGACAGGAGGTGTCATTTTAACTAGAGCCTCTGATTCCCCAGGCTTTTTTGTTTCTTTTTACTTTACATTTTTACAGTCAGATACAACTGTGTGCTTTGGCTGCTCCATTTCCTAGACCAAATTGTTGGAAATTATATAACTTCCCTAATTATTAAATTAATAGTTTAATTAACTTCTAATTATTAAAAAAAAGAATAGTAACCAGTATGTAAGTTACATGTAGTGAGTTAGTCTTAAACCACTTTTAGACAGCATTTAGTAAAGTTGTCATATGCTCCTTTTATGGGAACACAGCTTGGGAAAATTACTGAAACTTTACATTTTGCTAAACTAACTCTGATATGCTTCAGTGAAAAAAGCCTGGGAGAGAGAGATATATTGTTGAAGCTGGATATCTAGATTGCAGAATTTATGGATTACAAGGACCTTTTGCGGAAACCAGAAGATAAAGAAGAGACTAACAAAGACTCCGCATATGTGTTGGAAAGTCCCTACTGGAGGAAAAAGATACTAAAAAGACTAAAAATATGGACTAATTAGCATAAGAAGCAAGAAATCATCAGCCAATAGAAGATGGAATACTAATTATGAAAGAGTTATGTAATTTAGAACCAATAACATTAATTTCTTTGTTTGCTAACAGTGTATAAATAAGCAAAAAAGTTTTGTATTGATGTCTGTATGGAGGTTGGAATTTTTTTGGCCATACATAAACCTCTGGACCAAGGATAAAGTAATACCTTACTTATTTACACTGAAAAGACTATGTTAGAGGGTTTTATTTATCCTGACGATGTTGGGGGATTTAGTAACAGAAGGATAGCAGAAGCATGCTAACAAGTAAGACTGGCTTGTCCCTGTTTTTTCTGTTTTATATATTGCCTGGCTTACATCTGTATTCCCACTGCTGAAGCAGTGGTGTCACTGCATAAAGTAAGTGCAGAGTGTGTTCTCCAGTGGGGTCTGGATATACAAACACTGGCTCTACTGCAGTTGTTGGTGGCTCTTTATCCTCTTCTGCAAGAGTGTATAGGGAGGCTGTAGCCTGAAGCTGAGTGAATGTCAGAGGCAACAAATGGATTTCTTTTGGGCATGTTCAAAAATGCAGTATGGGCTGTGAGTGTCTTCTAAATCATTTCAGCTACAGCTGCTGCTAGGCCAGCAGCAGGCTGGAGGGGCATTGCTGGGTCTCTCCTCTCCACTGTGTTCCATGGTGTCTCCTCCTGCCAGCTTGCAGAAAAAAGAGCCTGGATGAAACCCCACACAGTCCTGGTGGGCTGTGTAAAGCCTTCTGCCCAGGCTGAGGTGCTTTGTGCCCCTAGCATCTGCCTAAGCAGTGAGTGCTTGTCCATCCTTCCCCTGCAGCTGTGTCCCCTACTGGCTGATGTCTCTCCTGTACTTAAGAGGAGGGGACCAAACACCATACATGGTGTGGAATTGTGTATATTTGGTCTGAGCAGTGCTGAGCCCTGGTGTGCTATATATGTACATCTGTAATAACGTTGCTGTCTCCACAGAACTGTGCTATGCCATCGACACGTGACAGGATCTCCAATGCTATCTGCATATGGAAAGCTATATGTAGCACTTGTTATGTCCAAAAACCCAGTGCAGGTAACACTGCAGATACAGGTAGTATTGAAGGTTAAGTTGCCATGTGTCATGATTTGACACTGGCCAAAGATCAGGCACCCACAAGAGTCATTCTCTTATCCTCTCCTGCTATAGTTGGGCAAAGGAGAGGGAAAAAGATGAGCAGAGTCAGAAGAGGATAATGAGAAGTAAAATAAGACATTAAAACACCTTTCTTCCTCTCGAGCCCCTCCCTCCTTCCCATGAACAGCATAGGGAGACAGGGTGTGGGGGTTTTGGTCAGTTTGTGACTCAAAATCATCTTCTGTTCTCTCAGGGAGAGTCTGCTCTGCTGCGCATTGGGTTCCCTCCCATGGGCAGTTGTCCCAAAACTGTTGTGGCACAGGTCGCTCATCCATGGGGTGCAGTCCCCTAAGGATAGGCTGCTCTGGTTTGGAAGCAAGGGCTCTCTCTCTAACTTTGGAAGCAGGGGTCCTCTCTATTCAGGTCTCCCACTAGATCACAGTTTTCTCTAACATCCACCAGCTCCAGCATGAGCACTTTTCCCATGGGCTGCAAGTGGATGGAGCTCTTCATCCCCCATGGACTTCATGCATGACAAGGGGACAATTTTTTTCACCACAGTCCTCATCATGGCCTGCAGAGGAATCTTGGCTGTGGTGCTTGAAGCACCTCCTCCCCTTCCTTTTTTCCCACTGACCTTTGTGTCGCCATGTTGTTCTCCCTCACATGTTCTCACCTTGTTCTCTTCTCTGACGAGGAGAAAACTGCTGCTTGTAGGTACCATTGCCAACAAATTTTACTAATTCAAAGATTCCTGCAGGATCCCACAGTGCCAAGAAGTTGATCTCAGTTAGGTTCCACATTGGGGAATTGCTCGCCATGTTTCCGCTGCTGTCAATGCGGCCCTGCTGCCATTGCACAGTGGTGCTGCTGCTGTCGTGCTGTCTCTATTGAACGCCTCTCCTCATGCAGGGCACTGGGAGGGGGAGCCACCACTGCCACCCCTGCCCTTCTATCTGCAGCACAGCTGGCCCCTGTCAGCATTGCTTCACTGCTCCTGGAAAAAATTGTGTGTGTGCTGTTTTGATTTTCTTCTTAAATATGTTGTCACATATGAGGCATTACCAACGTCTCTAATTGGACCAGCAGCATGTCCATCTTCAGAGCCATAAGAGATTCTCCAAAAAGCTCCCCTGTCTGTCCCACACTCCTGCTACCAACAAACCAGGCCATGCCAAATTAACACAGCTTGGCTACACAATTTTGCACACAACAGAGTCTCAGTTACCATCAGAGCAAACTGTGGGGCCACCCCCTTGCTTTCACAAACATTTTAGCACTAGAATTCTTTTGGCCCTGTTAACCACCCACATACAATTCCAATTCCTTTCCTGGGCCTGGAAGAGCTAAATCTGGGGCATTAATCAACCTTTCTTTTAATTTTCTTAAGTTCTGATTTTCTTCTGGTATCTATACAACAAATTGGGACTATCTTGGGTTAAAAAGCCACAAAATAAAAAGTCCTTAATCCATGTCATGCAAAAACCTATTCA